TTTTCCCTTTTCTATGAGCTCAGCAAATTCTTTTTTTATAGGACCAGGAGAACCGCATAACCTGAAGCCACGTAGAATAGGAAAATCTTTTATTACTTTGGCATGGGAAAAGCCAAAAGGAATGATAGAAGATGAAACAGACTATATGGTATGTGCTCATCAAACACAGAATGGTAAAAAAAGTTAAAAGATTAAAAATAGCTTGCCTTTATCTCCACAATGTGTAGAAAAGCCACGAATGTGCTATTTTCATGAGATTAAATGATGAAAGCAAAACAAATTCGTGGAACCTTAATATATTGCCAGCTGTAAATATGAACCGATTTGGATTTCACCTTCTCATTTTGAACATTCTCTGATAACCGTTTTTGATAAATAACAAATTCAATACGTAAAAGAGCCGCAGGTTATACTCCTCAAAATAAAGGAATCGCATAAATTTATACAAAAATGTAGGAATTGATATTTTCCCCACTGTCTTTTTCATATTTTAATATATTTATATTTTTGGAATACAGCCTTTTGCAAAAATTATGAGAATTGTCTAGTAAATATCTAAATATCATAATATCCATATCCATATATTGTCCGGAACACGCGGGTTTGCTAGAATAATTCATTGTTGACATCGAGAAAATGTTCAGAACTACGGATAAGTCTTTCACCGAAAAAAAACTAAACTACAAAGACAAGGGACTAAGGGCATCGCGCGAGATTACCCATCATACACTCGATATTATGATTTAGATATTTCAACAATTCTCATAATTTTTGCAAAAGGCTGTATATGCTGGACAATTTTTTTAATACGATATAGAAATAAAAGAAGGTTATAGTGCTTAGAAGGAGGCAATTCCGGGAGAAAGACGCTTAGGAATGAATTTGGAAAAATTAATTTCCGACCTCGTTGGGATTCCAACCCACGACCTTCAGACGTATTTGTTGCGTTGTTTTCAATTATAGTACTTTATTTTCCGTAATTCTTGTTTTTTTATTTCATGGAAGGTATATTTTAAGGGTTCCAAGCCATACTGGCCTGAATATGGATCTCCACTCAAATCTGAAAAGCAAGATGGTAAACAAACAACACTTAAGATAGACAACTTGCAGCCAGGGACAYACTATGAATTCTGGGTAACAGCGTTGACAGTTTGTGGTGAAAGCAACAGGAGTTTAACAGAAACAGTGCAAACAAAAGTGGACAGTACGTACCAGGCCATATCAACGTTTGTATGAGCCGGGATTTATATCTGTCATTAATAAATTTGCTCCATTTTCAATCGACAGAGCCTCGTATTGAACATCAAGTAACTCCTTTGATTCTTAGAGACAGCTTTAACGTCACATTATGGACATTCAAACCACACAATGGACCAATTAGGTACAGAAGTCCTTAATCAATTATCAATCGAGACTATTTTCTATCTTGCCCATCTATCCTTAAATTTATTTGTTCAACATCCAACGTAAGCTAATTGGATAGATGGACCATCTGCGCAGTGATGTAATGCTCATCAAAAATCCTGTCGTTAATTTCAGATGTCCCAAATGAAATCTTATCGTACTAAAATCTATATGCAACGTATCAACTGCACCGGCACCAGAGAGCATCCTATACGTTTTGACACGGTGCCGACCCCCATTCCAATTTTTATCAATGTTGTTTCAACGATCATTTGTTCATATTCTTGGCATTGGACATGTCGATGTGATGTCGATTTTCAACGATCATTTGTTCATATTCTTGGCATTGGGAAAATTCGAAAGGGATCAAGGTGTTCAATTCATTTTGAATCGCTAATTCTTTTATGTATGAGTATTTATCCTTGGTTATAACAGAGTATTTTTTCACCGAGGGAGCATTTTAGCTATAGTTGCACGTTGGCAATACGCGTTTATTTTCAGCTTGTACCAGGTAATCGTAATCAGTGGTAGAAATAAGAGCATGACCGAAATACCAGAACACCTTAGTGACTACCAAGAGGCCAGCAACAATAACGAACTGTTCTACATCACAGCCGAGCTAACACCTCACCAAATAAAGACTGCAGGAATGTTTGTCATCGGTGACAATAGAATGTATGGGAAATACAAAAACGTGCCTTTGGAAAAGGGTCAGGATTACACCGTAGCTGAGAGAGCAATCACAAAATATAAAGGGGTAAGTGAAATGTAGAATGATTTGATGGGATTCTTTAACAGACATATCTGGTCTGATCTGGTCATTTCTCGAAAGAGATGTACAAATAAAACCGATCAGTGATAAAACTCCTGCAAAGCGGGCTAATCTTTCGCCTCCTCTCCATCTCAATTCTACTGCCATCTATTATTMTTAAGGAACACTTAAAATTTTCACACTGTCTCCTTAGTTGCATTTTTCATCCTTCCATCCTTTTCATTATTCTCCTATCCCCCATTCCAACTTTCCAATAATATCTCCATTTTCGATTCAACTTTTTCCTACTCTGTCTTTTCAACGTCTTTCAGCAAACCTACAAGAGTGACCCAGTCCTTATTGCATCAATCGAAGTTACTGGAGGTAATTAGATGCTATGCTTATGAAAACAGTTTATTCAACTTGAAGGCATACATGCTAGCTATAGACCGAATAWAGATAGATCAGCTTGGAGAGGGAATAAGTACAAAGTAGGCGAAGGGAAAGGCACTGGGCTAGTCTAGAAGTCTAGAAAGTTGACGAAAGACTTATTTCCTAGATCTACTGAATCTATTATTGACTTAATGAGGTGCGCGCCTTTTTGGAACATTAAAAACTATTCTTCGAAATGTTTTCCTTAATATTGCAAACTATATATTCTACTTTCCAATGCTGATGTCACTTATTGGAAACCGCTGTAAATGTAGCTGATAATGATCCCATTCCATGGAGATAAGAAACGTTCAGAAGTATACAACATACATATTCACGGTGAGTATACTGTCAAGCAATACAATAAGCAGGAGGACATTGAAAGATGGTATGTGGGACATTTCCTCTAAAAGTTGACATGTCTTGACATGTCAGGGTTACTATGCATGAATCTCGTTACAACTTCACCATCAAAACAAAGAGCGCGTACATAAGCATTGAAGTTATAAAAGTGCGCGCAGCAAATCAATCAAATTTTTATTTTTGTTTTAATTTTATTTTTTCTAAGTTTGACTTCAAAAAGACTTTTTCATAATTGTATAAATATATGTTTAAGGTAAAGCGCCCTTAATACAAGTCTAA